GGCGGCTGTATTTTTACTTTTTTATCATCCTTTTTTTCCCTTGTATTTTTTGGGTTATTTTTTGACCAGTCAAAATATTTAAAAGACATTTCCCCCATATACATTATTTCATTTATTTATTTTTAACAGCTTATTTCTGCTTCATATCCCTGTAGTATTTTTTCAGCAAACAGATTTCTCCGAAGCCTTTTATTTCCTTATTTTCTTTTTCTGCCTCTTTTCCTGTATTTCCACAATGTGTAGGTGTAAATGTAAAAGCAGAGGGACGGGGGGCTTTGGAACAGCATCACCGCTGCAGCTTCTCTCCTGTTAGCCAACGTGAGGAGCTGCTGGTGGCTGTCTGCCTGGCTAAAACTTGTAGCGGGGGCAAACTTCCATCGTGTTCTTGCCAATGAACCTAGAAGGGTTACAGATTTGGCAGAGAGTAGAATATATGCATGTGAATGCATACTCCAAATCTAACCAGGATCACTTCAATCTTTGTCTAGATAAGGGTTTCTTAACCCTGGTCCTCAGGGCCACGGTACTTCATGTGATTCAAAGGATTGCATTGTCTCCTCGGCAGCCATCAAATGCTGAAGAAAGACTGTCAGGTGTGTGGAGACAGGAAAACACCTTAAGCATGCAGGACACCGGGGGCCTGAGGGTTAAGAAACCCTGGATTAAACCATAGGACATATGTTTTTAATTTGAATGTCTTTTTCACAGTTTTGCAATGACAAGTTTTAATTAAGCCTTTTATTGTTATTTCATGTGTTATGCAGTTGTTTGTGACTGTTTTTATGGTGGACGAGATTGTCTTTCAGCTTCAGCAGGAGTCACCAAGGTCTTTTCCTTTTGTTCTGGTTTAATCAAAACACTTTAATCTCTGGGACACAGGCATCCTCTCCTTCTTTAATGGTGTGATAGCTGTACATTCCCAGACTGCTTATAATAGCATATAAACACCTGGACAGAGAGCTAGCACCTTCAGACATCTGGAAATTGTGCTGAGACCCATGAAGGTCCTTATATTCTCTTCCTAATGAGTTGGCTGTTTTTAACCAAAGATGTTAAAAAAAGCGGCGCATTTAGCAAAATATGAAAACGCTTTTGAGAGAAATTAAAGTAGGTAAGTGTTTGTATCTCTCAAGTACTTCAAAATTAAACTAAAGAAGCACAGCACTGAAGAAGGTCTGATCAGAATCCAAAGGTGTTGGTTTATAAGTGCCTTTCAATGCTCACATTGCTCCCAGTCATTACTGTACTTTTTCACACCATTGTGCAGCAAGTTGTGTTAGGGGATAGGGTTGTGCATTGACTGTGTTTTAATTGAGTCTATTTACACAGTTCAAAAACATTAAGATAAAACATCATGAGAAACATAAACAGCTTTAATGAGCCTGGATTTATTTGTGTGTGGGAGGTGAGCATGCTTTAATCCCTTACCAGTAAGCAGGTTGCTGTCCAGAGCCAATTACCCCTTGTTTGTCTGAAAACTTGCAGTTTCTCTGTAGTTTTGATTAAAACTAGGGTGACCCTTAAGCATTATCACACACTCAACCATGATAGGAAATGCTTGTTTTAGACAAAGATGATTCTGAAAATGAACTAGAGAGTAGAAATCCAGCTTAAAGATAACATCAGACCTGCTGACTTTTATTACTTGGATGCTAATGTTTACTTAATGTCTTTCAGAATTTTCTCTGCACTGTCAAAAATCTGCTATTTCATTACTGCTTCAGATTCTAACCTGGACTAACTTCTGTAATCAGGTAAAATAAATCCTGAAGGAGAATATTTGGCCATCAGATTATGACCTTTAGTTTAAGCACCTCTGAATAGCTAAAACAATATCATGAAAGCTTTGCCTTTAAATCTGATTGGGATTCTGTTGCATGCCTTTAAGTCAAAATCTCCAGTGTGACTAAATACAAACAATTCAGAAAGGGGAAGTAATAAGCATAGTATAAAATTAAAGTTTGTTTTCCCCTAATGTTAAATCACTGCTTCCCATGTCTGAATTCTAATTAGTATGATTTCATTAGAGCAGTCCAGTTGCACCTGGCATTGAGCTCTCACCTTGTTTGCTGCTAAAAAGTCCCTCATGGAGATCATTTCCCCAGACATCCTGCGACCTGGGTCAGTCTCGCTCTCATTTATGGCATCTGTTTCGATAGAGAGGTCCCTGCGGGCACGGAGATGGCCCGGAGCGACCACATTACGGCGAGGGTGCCGGTGAGGTCCCCTCCTGGGAAAGCAGCAGCGGCACGGGGCTTCCAGCCTTCTAAGTAGCCAGTTGAGGACCTGCTTGATGACAATGGAGATGACGTTGAAGAGGGAGTAGATGCAGCAGACCCCCGTGAGGATAAAGAAGAAGTTTCCAACCCGGTACGCAGCTGTAGCGTGACCCTCGTAGGAGATTCTCTGACTGCTGACCATATCCCCAAACCCAATGGTGCTGAAGGCCACGAAGCAGAAGTAGAGTGAGTCCAGGTAGCCCCAACCTTCAGCAGCTGAGTACATCAACGAGGCACAGCAGGACACCAAGATCGCTGCCGCTCCAAGGATAAACATCACGCAATAAACGGAGGGTTTCCATCCAGCAAGCTCTTCGCGCTTTTCTACTCCGCCTGCCTCTACTTCCTCTGAGACCCTCCGTCCGTTCTGCGGCAGCACGGCCTTGTTGCGGCGCCGTTCATGAAAGGACTTGAGGACGACAGCTATGACAGTGATGACCCGCTCCAGAAACAGGTTAAAGAAGAGGATGGTGGCCGCACAACCCAGTAGGCCGTAAAACATCAAGAAGATTTTTCCTCCGATGGTGGCAGGAGTAGTCATCCCAAACCCTGGGAAACAACCAAAGAGATCTAGCAGTTAGTTTAAGGAAAATACTGCTGCCATGGTAATAAAAAAAAAAAAAAAAAGCAGCCATTAGGACTTTCTCCACAGAATACTTCCAGATCAAATTAACACAAGCTGCAAAGAAAATCTTAATTTAGATTCATTCACAAGGTCTTGCAAATGAATGTGTTTTAAGAAAAATAATTAGCTGGCTCTAAAGTACATGAGAGCTGTAGCCATTAAAGATAATTTAACATTAAAATCTACATGTAATAAAAATTGACAACTGCATCCTGTGTCTGCTCTAAGTCTAGTGGCATCGGATGTAGGAGTTTGCCCTGAAATCGAAGGATTGACGGTCAAGCCCCGGCTCCGACTTTCAGTGTCGTTGTGTCCTTGAGCAAGACACTAATGGTGGTCAGAGGGCCTGGTGGCGCCAGTGTACGGCAGCCTTGCTTCTGTCAGTGAGCCCCAGGGCAGCTGTGGCTACAATGTAGCTTGCCACCATCAGTGTGTAAGTGTGTGTGTGAATGGGTGAATAACTGAATGTAGTGTAAAGCGCTTTGGTCAAGTCTCCTGACTTGAAAACGCGCTATATAACTACAGGCCATTTACCATATAGCATATATATATATATATTTAATATATATAACACGGCCAAATCCTTCAAAATCTTTACCATCGACAGGCAGCAGCCATATCCCGAATTTCTCGTTTTCCAGCCACTTATGTTAAAATTTGCATTTTCCGCTTTTTCTGTGCCTCGAGCTTCTGTTCCGAACATATGGCTTTAGGATCAACCAGGAGCAGGAACACGCAAACATGTGGAACCAGTTAAATCTGATNGAGTTACATATTAACAACGATGGTGATGAGTGGAAAAAAAAAAACACCTGGTCTCCTTACATTCAGCCACTCTTTCATCATCTCCTCAATGAGGTGGTCTCAAAAGTCGCAGTTACAACATAAGGCGCACCGCACATTTTGAGGGGAAAAAAAGACGTTTAAGTGCGCCTTATAGTCGTGAAAATACGGTAACTACAGGCCATTTACCATATAGCATATATATATATATATATATATATATATATATATATATATATATATATACTGTATATATAACACGGCCAAATCCTTCAAAATCTTTACCATCGACAGGCAGCAGCCATGTCCCGAATTTCTCGTTTTCCAGCCACTTAAGTTAAAATTTGCATTTTCCCTTCTCTCCTTTTTCTGTGCCTCGAGCTTCTGTTCCGAACATATGGCTTTAGGATCAACCAGGAGCAGGAACACGCAAACATGTGGAACCAGTTAAATCTGATATATTTAACAAAATTATTACTATTATTTTTTTTTATCAACCATTTAAAATACCATGATAATCATATTTAATGCATTTTAATGCCAATTAAGGCCTTAATTTAAAAAATAATAATTTAATGACTTTTAATGATTTTTAATGACCCGCAGAAACCCTGACTCAAAGCTTGCAGTTTTCTAGATTCCTATTTAAAAACTGTCAGATATTTTTTAGCCTGGCAGTACCCCCTTTTACCTTTTTACGTTATACACCAAACGTTTGTGCATTTGCTTTAGATACGGTATATCAAATGCTGAAATCTGGCCAAGTGACAAGAATAACAGATTGTTAAAGAAATAAGTAAATAGAAGCTTTCCCGGCAGCTTTACACAAGCAGATACAGCCAACATGTCAAAGAGGTTAGGTGAGGCCAATAGTGAACTTTCGGGGCCCGTATTCACAATACTCAATATGGCAGAAAACACTGCATTTTACTCTGAAAATAAATCCAAACCATAAAAAGGGCAAGGGTTGCTATGGGAACAGTTTTCTTTAACTTTAACAGGGCAGATGGTCAAAACTGAGAGGAAGATGGATTAAACGTGATGCATGTCGTTGCTGGAAAAGAGTTTTTAAGAGACTGCATTAAACTTCAGATAAGCCCTTGGTTTCCCTTCTAGCAGGACAGCAGCTCTAAGAATACAGCCAGAAAGGTTTAAAACAAGCTTGTTCAGGTTTTAGAATGGCACAGTCAATGTCTGGCCCTATTTTGCACTACATTGCAAAGGATACTGGAATGAATGTTCTATTTCCTCAGTAAGGCTGGATAAAATACAATATAAAAAACCCTGAATTGTTGCTTCTGTTTTTTTTAACAAGGTGAAAAGTAAAAGAAAAATTGAACAATTTCTGCTTCCCTTATGTTTCTCTTGTGACTTGCAAGTAAAGCAAAAAGGACAGCATGGTGAAACATCTTTTATTTCACTGCGGGTTACAGAAATGTTTTTTTTTTTTTGCTTAATTTACTAAAATGACTATTAAAGCTCAGTATATCTCTGAAAATGATAAATTATACATCAGTGAAAAACTTCACATCATATAAACCTAATAGTTTTTGTCATGCAATACATTAATTTATTTCATCGGGTACAGTAGATATAAATGTGTGAAACCTGAAAGGACTTTTTAGCCAGAAAAGGGAAGATCAACATGGAAACCTTTTTTCCTCATGATTGAGATAGAAAATAAAAGCTTCAACCTGACTAATTGGCTGCGCTACTCTGTGGCTTCTTGGGGAGGATGTGATTGCCTCTTCTTCAAATTGGTTGTCAAGGTGCTAATTGAACCAGAGTTGTCTCCAAAACATGACAATAAAGCCAAATGAGCTGGATTTTATGGATTTGTTTTTCTTTTCTTTGTATCTCATGTTATCTTTGAAGTGAGATATCTGAAGCTATTTGACCCATTTTATAAAGTATATAAAAACCATTACATTTATTATAGTTACTGACAGGTGTGAAAGGAATTGAGGTTTTAAGACATGATTTAATGAGTAGCTGGTGTTAAAGACGGTTTCTGAGTTGTACTGCAGTTCTGACTTCCCTCTGAGAACTTATGATATGAAAGATTATCTATTTGGCCTGTTTCATGCTGTAAATCTAACTTCTATTCAGTCAGCGACTTATTAATAATAGAAAAATAGCTCTGCCTAATAAATATAAGACTGCCATGCAGCTCCTCCTGAAGAAAACAAAACTTTTATCAAATTTTTAGGTTAAACCTCTAGATGAGTAGAAGAAAACACAAGTTTGGTAACAAGGAAACAAGAAAAATTGCATTTTTTTTTTATGTTTGGAGAAATACTTAGTGGCATAATCGGTTTCATGCATGTAGACGTGTGTATACCTGTGCTACCTTTGAATCATTGGACATCACACACTGTTTACTCTACAGGCCTTTTGGCCATGCTTCCCACATTTACCAAGCATTCCTCAATCAACTGCATGGACTTTTTCCAGAACCCTAGATGGCTGACTTTAAATCCCACAGCACCAAGCTTTTGAAGTCCAACAATTTAGGACAGTGGAATACGTAAAAGGAAATGGGTTTAATAGGTTAAATGATCACATAGGCCATTTTAAAGGGAACATCTCACTCATTTTTCAACCAATATCTGATGATGATCAAATTTAAAAATGTTGTACTTATTTAAAATTTTACAATGATGATAAAATAAAGGGTTTTTGTCAAGAACTTTCAAAGCTTTCTTAAAGAGAGACTGTAGGGGTTTCAGAATTGCCTCTGAAGTGTGAGATCATGTGGTATGGCACTAGTTTATATATAATACAACCCTATATAATAGGCTCTTATATGTTTAAAGTTTGAAAGATTAAACCTAATTATATTTGAGACTCTTTGCATGCTGCTTGAAATTTAAATTTGAATCAAAGACCACTCCAAGATATTTAAAATGTTCAACCACGTCCAATCTCTCTCCATTGACACAGATGGTTCATCAACCTCTACTGGCTGGTGGGAGAGAAACATACAGCCTGTTTTTCCAATGTTAAGATGTAGGCAGGAGTCCTGGAGCCATTGAGACACTGATAGTGTAGCGTTAGAGAGAAAAGCAGCAGCTTCACTTTTAGTTTTTGCATGAACATATAGTACAGTGTCATCAGCATATAATTGCATTTTTACAGTTTTACAGATATTGAGTACATAATTTACATAAAGGGTCTGAATAGAATTGGTCCGAGCATTGATCCCTGTGGAACTCCAGCAGAAAAAGTGAGGAAGATGGACAGTGAATTATCTATTTGAACTGCTTGATTTTTTCAAAGGGGCTTCAAGAGAGATCACGAGTTGGATGCTGTCTGTTGGCTTATGTGGATCCTTTCCTCGTCAAATCAAGTGTCAAGAGCTTCTACTTAATAAAAATAGATTATATATGGACATAGACTTTAATGAATAATTTTTCAAATATTTTTTTTCTGTTTGTCCTGTAAATGATAAAAAAAAAAATACCAGTCCAACTTAAATAAACGTCTAAAGCAACTGCGAGGTGCAGGTTGATCAAAAATCAAATGTCAAACAACCTTAGGGTTCTACTATTAGCTGGTGGACACTGGAGGTAAAGGGAGAACTTGTATGTACGTATTACTGCCACCCACTGGACTGACGGTGTAGTGCAGTTTCTCTCAGGATGATTATCGAAGGGCTTTCTGTATAATGGGATAAGATGCTGATGAATTACCCTGGATATCGATAACGCCAATCATACAAATGCTGTGGCTGTAAATCGAGGGTCTTTCAGTGGAAAAAAGGGCTAATAATATAAAAAACAAGTATAACTGGGAGCTGGTGATAATCTAGCCTCTACGAGCTGTATCAGGTGTGGAGCCGCGTTATACACTGACTGCAAAGGAAAAGGGCGACAAGCATAACCTGAAGGTTAAGGGCTTTTTTAATCTGACTCTGTAATAGGGTCAATTAAAAACAGCTGCATTAAAACAAAGTGACTTAAAAAATAACTTTATGTTTCAATTGGGGCTGAATCAATTAATCAGATTAATGGTAAACAATCCATTCTTGAATTAACTGTCAACTATTTTAGTAATCAACTGGAGTATAGAGACTGTAAAACATGCCTTTAGCTGACAGAGCGACCCACTTAGAGCAGTAATTCTACCAAAATTGTAAAAA